AGTTGTCTGCGGGTAGTCAGCGGATGGCAGTGGGTGTGGGCCAACACGCGACCATCGCCATGGCTGCTGAGGGCGGGGCGGGCGCAGGTAGAAGGGTGGGGTGCAGGAGGGTCTCTGCCCTGCCTGAGAGGCACGGGGTGGGGGAGCTGGCTTTGGACCAGGCTGCAGGAGGTTGAAATCTGTCCTTCCACTCCCCGCCTTGTGACTGTGAGCCTAACCCTCAGTTCCCCATACAATGGAGCCGTGTGAGGAAGCCCCGGGACCACGTGCTCCGCTCCTGTTCTTGCTCATTCTCGAGGCATCAGCAAACGTGGCCCCTCAGCCTTCTGCAGATTTTAGGCCTGACTTTACTGGCACCTTCCCCACTCTGCCACACCCTGCAACTTCAGCACCCACACGGTAGCCCTTCCCGCACCTGCTCACACCTCCCGGACCGGGTCTCCTCCAGCGACCTTATGCTGCAGCCACCCACCTCTCCCGGCGTCCCCTGCGTGCTGTGATGGCTTGAATCATGTCCCCCAAGAAGACACGTTGGCATCCTAGCCCTGGGGTGTGAGTGTGACCTTATTTTTTATTTTTTAAGAATTATTTTATTGGGGCCGGCAGGTGGCATGGTGGTTGGGAGGGTGCTGGACTCCTACATGGCCGACTGCGATTCGAGTCCCGGACCTGGCGGCTTTCTTTCTCACCTTTTCTCTCGCTCTCTCTTTCTCTGGTCAAATTAAAAGAAAAAGAAAGAAAGAAAGAAAGAAAGAAAGAAAGAAAGAAAGAAAGAAAGAAAGAAAGAAAAGTAAAATAATTCTTAAACAAAAAAAAGAATTATTTTTTAAACTTTATTTATTCTATTATTTTCTAGGTTTGACTAGAGAGAGAGAGGAAAAGAGAAAGCAAGCTACCAGGTCCAGGACTCGAACCATGGTCAGCTGTGTGGGAGCCCAACACCTTTAACTAACAGGCCACCTGCCGGCCCTGAACGTGACCTTTTAGAAGTGGGTTTTGCAGACATAAATACGGTGCGATCACTAGGAGCCCACGGCAGTCAGCATGGCTTAAGTCTTTAAAAGAGTGAAGAGGGCCAGCCTGGGGGTGCAGTGGGCAGCAAACCGAGCTGCAGCCCTGGGTCCCACAAAGCTGACAGATCCCAGCTCAGCCTGAAACACGCTGGGCACGTGTGCGCAAGCTGCAGGGCTGGGGAGAAAAGAGACACAGAGACAGGGAGAAGACCCCTGGTCAGATGGGTACTGGAGCCACGCGTCCTCGGGCTGAGATTGCCAAGTCCTGCCGGCAACCCCAGGAGCTGTGAGAAGGTCTAGGGGTAGGTGAATCTCCCCTGGGCCTGCGGAGAGCGCATGGCCCTGCCCACACCTTGGTCTCCAAATCCTGGCCTCCAGGGCTGAAAGAGTGCAGGGCTGGTCTGATAGAGCAGCCATGGAAAGCAGCTCCCATCGCCCCACAACCTCATCGCTGCCCTTAGCTGCAGCCAGGCCGCTCCACTCAAGCCTGCTCCCGCCCTCCTCCTCCTATCATCCCACCCTGCTCACTCTCGCTCTCGCTCTCTCTCTGTTTGCTACAGGGCATGTGCACTTTCCAGAAAGAGAGGGGAAAAGTGAGAAATCAATCCACAAGGGGGATGGCCATGACAAAATCCCTTCTCCTCCATTCTCCCCTTAGGATTTGGGGCATGTATGCATACGCACCTCATGTGATTTTCAAGCCACCAGGTTTGGGACTTGAACCATGCAATCAGCTATGTGGGATCCAGCTGCCTTAACCTCCAATCCACCTGCTGGCCCCCAGCTCTTTCTTTCTAGCCTTCAATTCCCACGGTCCTTCAACCCTATCAAGACCTTCTGAGGCTAGGAACCACAGTGGTGTTGTGCAACTGCTACACCGACCCTGGGTGTGGAATGCGAGAGGGAGTCGTGGAAACAGCGCGGCGAGAGCCCGTGGTCAGTGCTGGACACGCTGGCAAGGAGGGCACGTGGCCACCCCAACTCGCTTCCGGTATAACCCTCACGGCCCCTGCTTCAGCATGGAGAGTCAGGAAGCCCCGACTGATGGATAGCCTGACCGTCCTGCATCGGAAAGAGCACCAAGGGCTTCACTAGCGAGAGCCTAGCAAGCCCTTCTCTGGCCACTAGTGACACGGAGCTGAATCCAGCACACATCCAGAGAAGAAGACCTGGCATTCAGCTGCACCCTCTGCACGGCACGGCTGTCTCATCTTCGCGGTGCCAAGCCCTGGTTTAATCCTTCACTGCCAGTGTACGGTTAAACCCTAAGGACAGCTGTTAGTGTTGCTCTTCTACCGAAAACGGTCTTTTCAAGACATTTTGATGATAAGACCAGTAGATGGTGGAATTGTTACGTTACTGGATTCCTATGCAGTCAACTGCGGTTCGAGTCCTGGATCTGGTGGTTTAAAATTCAAACCAGGCATGTGTGTGTGTGTGTGTGTGTGTGTGTGTGTGTGCGCAAAATCCAGAGAACAGAGTGGAAGAGAAGGGACTGTGGTGTGGCCATCTCCCCTGGGGGGTGATTTATCGCTTTCTGTCTCTCTGTCTCTCCAGTGAGTGCATGTGCCCTATAGCAAATATCTCTCTTTAAAAAAAGAGACATGCTCACGTGGTTTGAAGGTCTCCGTGTTTCACTATAGGGTTTTTTAAAGGAAAAAGTGGACTTAATTTATGTACCTATTCTGCCTTGGAACTACCCTGGGATGGAGTTGTCCAAGTGCCTGCCAATGCGAATTTTGCTTTTATGACTCATACGTGTTCTCATTGCATATTATTTTAAAAGTCAGCTCCTGTTTTTTTATCATAAGTTTTTTCCGATGTCCCTGATTTGCATGAACGAGATCTTGTTTGTTAAATATACTGATAGCAAAATGCCTAAAACCAGACACACTTCTGCAATTCCAGCCACTGGGAAAAGAGTTAGCAAACACTTCTGTGACGTGATGTGGGCCTCTCCGTGAAGGCACTGCGGTATGACCGAGAAAACAGGCATTTGGAATTGAAGAACTGCATCCGATTCGATTCTATTACTACTGGGTCGGAAAAGTCAGGACGCAATTTTGCATAAACAGAAAAACACATCATGACTTTTCTGATGACCCAGTAATTGCCAAGTAACCGTTTATACACAGACAAGATTGACTAGGTGCCACAGGCTGTACACCTGACACCTGGTTCTGCAGTGGGGACACTGATACTTTGTCTCCTACTGTACTGAGGAGGGTCTGCCCGATACCACGTATCCTCCTGTGTGTGGACAGGTCTCAGTACTAGGATCCTATGTACTGCCGGGTACTGATACTGTGTATCCTGCTGTGGATGAGGAGGGGTCCCCGATACTGTGTATCCTGCTGTGGATGAGGAGGGGGCCCCGATACTGTGTATCCTGCGGGGATACTGTGTATCCTGCTGTGGATGAGGAGGGGTCCCCGATACCGTGTATCCTGCTGTGTACTGAGGAGGGGTCCCGACACTGTGCATCGTATGTACTGCACCCTTGTGCCTGACACTACGTATTATACTGTGTCTGGTAAGCACATGTACCCGCTCTCAGAGCTCGGCTCTCTTGTCCACACCGGCAGCTCTGGGACAGCTCCCCTTTGAAACCTCCACGTCCCAGCACACACTGGGATGTCGCAACCGCTGTGAGCTGTGACGGTAGTTACGGCCCAGGTTTACACACACATTACATGTATTATACATAGTATAGATTATACATTTATAACTGTGTATAAATCAGAAAGGCTCCAAGCGCCCTCATGACCACGGCATTCTCCGTTACCTGCTCTATACTTCCGCTCCACCGCCATACTGAGCTATCATTCCCGTATCTCTCAGTACTTCCCAGCTTATTCAGCGCGGCTGCTACCGCAATTTTAGAACAATCGCATTGCCCTCAGAAGACACCTGGTGGCGGCTCGCGGTCACCCCTCGCCGGCTCTAGACCACCACGTACTCGAGTTTCTGCCTCCGTGGGTCTTGCCTGCCCTGGGCATTTCACACGCGTGGGACCTTACTACGTGGCCTTAGCGTGGTTATTCCGGGCTCATTCCCGGAGCCTGCGCAGGAGCTCACGCCTCTTCACGGCTGAATTACACCCATTACACTGCCGTGCGTGCGTTCGTGGATGAGCATGGGTTGTCCACGCCGTGGTCCGCTGTCCTAATGTGCGTGCGTGACCTTTCCCCATCGGACTAAGACAACTGTCCACACGGGACCCAAGACCATCCTGCAGGTCTAGGAACGTGTCGGCTCTTGTGAGTCCTGGGAGGGCCACAAGCTGCCCTTCCACCAGGACGTAGCCATCGTGACCTGGCCCTCTGCCGTTCAGCTTGGCAAGCAGCCATGGGAAAGGTCACGGCAAGGTCGCAGTGAGGTCACGACACCGCATGGAGCCAGGCTCCCCTGCTTTTCTCCTATGTCAGGCCCCGGGGGTTGGGCGTATTTAGAATCTTCACGGGGAGGAAGGACAGGTCCCCCCAGGCCAGCGCCCTGACTCCAGCCCGCCATCTCCCACAGGGCCTCCCACGCGTCCACGTCCCAGTTTACAGCCCCCTCTGCAAAATGAGGGGTGCGTGGGCCGACTACCGTGACAGTGAGCACGAACACGCCAGCACGTAGGTGCTACCCTGGGCGCTCGCAGGCCTCGGCTCACTCGCCCCTCACAGCAGCCCAGGAGAACGGATGTCACTCTCATTTGACGGAGTGGGACACCAGGCCACAGGGCTGGGAAACCTGCCCGAGGTCACATGGTTGGCCTTGGCTGGAGCAGAATCCAGCTCGGGCAGTCTGAGTGAATCCGGGGTCTGGGCTCTTAGTGAGGGACACCCAAACGCAGAGGTGAAGAGCGACGAGCAAGGGGCCCAGCCACGGGCTTCGGTGTGCCCTGGGGACACTCTCTGTGCCACGCAGCCCCCACCCTCTCCCCTGAGGGAGGCCTCAGAGCCCTGACGCATGGGGGCGAGGGGCGGCCTGGCACCTTACCTGACCCCAATGGTGAACATGCTGAGAGGCCGCTTCCCCTGCAGCCAGCCGACGAGCATGATCAGACCTGGGGGGACAGAGACACCTGCAGACCGGGACGGCTCCCACCGCGGGCCTGGCAAGCCCGTTCCCTTAGAGTCTGCGGGACCCGGACCCGGGTGCCTGAGTGAGAATGGTGACTGCTTTCTTTGTCCCTTTTAAGGCAGATACTTGGTACCTACGGTTGGGCTTACGGGCCGGCACATGGCACAGCGGTCACGTGCTGCTCGGGAGGAGCCGGACCGCACAGGGAACCGAGGTTTCAGTCTACCACAGAGCAGGGGCCCAGGCCACAGCGGCCGTGGGCATGACCGACGCAGGCACGGGCGAGTGGAGGG